CAAACTCTTCTAGTGGAAAAAACTTAAAAAAAAAAAAAATGATACAACAAACTTTAAAAATAAAAATGTGCATTTCAATGCACATTTTTCATTTGCAAAATGCGAATTTCCGAAAAAACTCTATTATCAATATTATTGTTTAATAGATTTTAATTATATAGATAAATATATAGAAAGAGAAATATAAAATATAGAAAATATAAATAAAATTATAGATTTAAAAAGTCCTCGAATTTTTGAATAAGTCTGTAGGTTACTTATGATCTGTACTTTCAATGATGTATTTTTTTTATTTTTAATCTATTGAGCGCACATTCTGGATGAATAATATTACAACGCTTTTATTATTATAAAGTCTACTGAGTTCTAAAGATACTATGCGAATCATCAACAGGCACTCTTCATTCGTCACAATTTTCATTTTAACTTACCTGTTTGTAAACATTATATGCTGTAGCACCATCAAAACTAGCCTTACATCTAAACCTCAGTTTAGTTAATTCTTTACCATTTTAATTACCTCAGTAGTTTTGTAGAAACAGCTTTTTAAGAGTGTGTTTTAAAAGATCTTTTAGCGATATTTTTATTGAATAGCCATCTATTTGAATTAAGATCTTATATTATTATATAAAGGATATATGTGGCAGCCATTAATAATTAACGCTAATAATAACTAATGCTAGGGCTTTATCAGGTGAATATATCTAAGCATGTTTAATGGGATTTTTATTTCAAATTTTAGAAATTTTTGTGCCAGTCTTGTACTTAAACTCGCTATTCAGTTTCAATTTTGTTGGATGAAGTAATTTATGTTTAAATAAAAAATTAATAACATTGTTAGGCTTATTCTTGTTGTTCTGTTACAAGCTTTTTCAAAAGAGCAACATGGTTTCCCAACTTCATTAACTGATGATATAGCATTTAATGTACCGTTGGTGTATTGAAAATCTTGCCCTAGCCAATTTTCATTACTTCTCTCAAAATGAGTATTATAATTGTTTGCAGCTATCAACTTTTTACATTATAATTTTATAAAGTTTTTCACTCAGAATTATTTAGTTTAATATCTGCAGAAACTAGAACAGTTACTTTCGATGAAAAGAATCGTGTATCCCTAGGAACTAGTTTATTTTGTCGTATAAGTCCGTAAATGTCACCAATTTTTATATTATTCCTAAACAAAAGAACAAAAATACTGTTAGGTAAACAGTACAATTTGTATTGAATTAAATAATAAACAAAATAACATTTATTTTTGTTTACGAGAAATAAAAGTTGGTTCCAAGCAAATAACATAAGTTACAAGTCATTATTTTAAAATGTTAAAGAAACCCAAAAGGGGAAGTTAGGGGCAATGTATATAGTTCAAATAGGTTGTATACATCATACATTTACTAGTTCAAGTATTTAATATAGGTTCTCGTAGGTTTCATAAATTATGTGACAATTTTTGTACAAACTAAAAGTATTAAATGTTAAAAATTTACCTCGTTATTTTATATCAGATTATAAATGTCAAAAAGCCTTTATAGGCTGATCTTTACTCTATATTTTTTTCGTAAAGTTATGTTAAATAGTTACTACTGTTAAATAGTTTAAATATATAATTCCGTAAGCTCATAAAATTTTAAAAGTTACTATTTACTATAGCTATGCATAAAAAATAAAAATTTCTCGCTATTTAAAAAAAAAAAAATTTTCTTCATTATACATGTAACCGCAACTGTTTTATGTGGTTTTAAAAGATACTATTATACTTAAAACAATTTTCAAAATTTTTAATGAGAGTATTACAAATATATTTTATTATATGGTTTTGAATATATTAAATTTTTATATTTTAGGTTTTGTCCACCACCTGGCCCACTTGTGAGACGTAATGTAAAAACGTTAAGTAAAAGAATGAAAATATTTTTGTAAAAATATTCTTTGATCAATAGATTATTTTATTTGGCGCTACAAAAACTAATAACATTTAGTATTAATAAAGTATAAAACAGAAAAAAAAGATTTTTTTTCTGTTTATAACAGTTATATACTATAACAGTTATATAAAATAACAGTTATATACTATTAGACTTAACATTATTTTATAACCTGTCTTGAGAGATTACTGAGTTGTTTGGCAATGTTATATTTAAAAAATAGTAATATTTTTTAAATATGACATTTTTCCACGTTTTTAAAGTTTTGTAAAATTTGTTGAATAATTATATAAAAAAAGTACTCTAAATAAAAAATGAGAATTGTTATATAACCAAGAAGAATATCTAAATATACCGTGAAACCAATAAAGCTAACTGAACTCCCTTTCTCTCTCTCTCTCTCTCTCTCTCTCTCTCTCTCTCTCCTCTCTCTCTCTCTCTTAAAATAAAAAAACTAAGTTTAAAACAAAAAACTAAAGGTATCACAAAAATGATTTCAGTTTGGATTGCCGACTAAGGTCACTCATATTATTTTTTGCTCATTCTATTTGCTATTCACAGCATTAGCGATATGTTGCGTTTGATAAACGCCAAACTTACGCAATTTTTTTCTATTTAATCAAGATCCTTCAATATATAGGGGAAAGCGGGGCAACATGGCGAGCGTTTTAAAATCCCTGAGTTATTGCAAAACTATCTGTCGTGAAGCAATATTACTTTCTCAGTATGTTTATGTTAGTAAAATGATTCATTGCCAACGTGAATTTTCAGTTTGCAAATATAAAAGTTTGAAATAAATATTAAAATAAAATGTTCATAAATTTGTCATCTGGTCACGTGACCGGGGCAAGATGACTTATTATGCAACTTTTGCCTCCAATTTTAAAAAATCTAAAAACTTTAACTAAAGTAACACAAAATAATCACAAGTCGCAAAAAACTACTTTTAAAGAAGTTAAACTTGAAGGATACCATCCATAATGAGAAACCGAAACTGACGGATTTTTTTTTAAGCGCAAAAAGTAAACTTATGCGCATAAAATTGCGTTAATAATATTAAAAAAACCAAATGGTGTTTTAAAATACAAGATGCAAATACAGTTTTGTTTTCACCTAACTTTAGGATTTTTTGTTAAGTTGTTATATGAAAACCCATGTTCGTCCCCATTCGCCATGTTGCCACTTTCTCATATATATATATATATATATATATATATATATATATATATATATATATATATATATATATATATATATATATATGCATATATATATATATACACACACACACACATAAACAACAAATAATTTATAAAAAAAAAAAAGTAAAAGAAGCTTACAAAGCCGCACGCATTATTTGACTTAGACAGTGCGTTTCGAAGATAAAATCTTGCAGTTCGATAATAAAAACTTTGCTTTCGATGATAAAGACTTTCATTGTAATAAATATGGTTCGTTGATATAAATAGATATAGTCCGGAAAATTGTAACTAATTTCAGACGTCATACGTTACTCAAATAATTTGCGACGCATTTTGACTAATTCTGGTACGTTAATATGTACGCTTTTTCAAAATGTACGTTTTTTGCTACCCAAAATATAAAACAATCAGTAAAAGTATTTGTTTACAATATGAGTTAATTTACGTTGATTACAAATAAATAAATAATTAAACTACAAATAAATAAATGAACTAATATCAGAGACTCGGAAAAAATTATATTCACGAAAATATATGTTAATAAGCATACATATTATCATTTGATACTTTTTTAACTCACGATATGAATGTTTGTATCGTTTGAAACAGTTTAATGCGTTCCTTTTTAATTAGTTTATATGTTTTATAAAGCTATTGTAAACATTCAAATTAAAATAAAAAATTTAAATTAAAAAAGTATATTTATGATAAGCCGAAACATTAGGCTTAAGACTTTAGGCCTAATGTTTCATTAATGTTAGACATTAGCCGAAACATTAGGCTTAAGAAAAAAATTTTTGAAATCTATATTACAAAGATTAATTACTAAAAAACCGTTACCTAGAAATTTTTTTTTGTATGTTTTTTACAAAAAAAAATTAATGTTAGTAATTAGACCTTTTGGGTCCGTTTTATATGGGTAAGCGTTTTCATAAAAAAAAAACCTCTTCGCTGTTGTGGTCTCCTCTGGAGTTTGGAGAAGAGAATTTTTGTATATATTACCAAACTTCACTTGTATTTGTTTATATTATTATATTTTAGCTTGTATGTTTTATAAAATATTAACAAAATATCTTAGAATCTCATAAAGATCAGGGGGAAAAAAAATTGAAAAAAAGACTATTTTTTACCATTTAATGTTTAGGCAATTTTGAGCTAAAAAATATTTGTTTTATCATGAATATTACAAGTTTTGTTATTTTTTCTACTCATCTTAAAACTACTAAATGAATGTCTTAAAATACTCATTTTTTTATCACCGACACGTCAAAATTCTAAATTATAATTACCAAAGGGGTGATTAAAATTTCGAATTCACATTCCAGTACGCCTTACGTAGACGATATAATACAATTTAATTCGTAATACAATTTCGTACGTGTATATATACAATACAGTTATAAACATATAAAGCTATAAAAAAATATATCCGTTATTTTTTTAATAATATTACAGTTGAGCTCTCTACGGAAAAATATTGGACAAGACAAACCTTACTTCAGAGATTACTAAGTTGTTTGAAAATATTTAAAAAATAGTTATATACAATCAATACCTCTAAAAAGTACTCTAAATAAAAAATAAGATTTGTTATATAACCAATAAGAATATCTAAACACTTCTAAACCAATATAACTTACTGAATTTCAATAATTAAGGTAAAGTAACTCTATATATATATATATATATATATATATATATATATATATATATATATATATATATATATATATATATATATATATATATATATATATAGAGTTACTTTACCTTAATTATTGAAATTCAGTAAGTTATATTGGTTTAGAAGTGTTTAGATATTCTTATTGGTTATATAACAAATCTTATTTTTTATAAATTGAAGACGCCAATATAAATTGAAGACACCTTCTGTAAAAACGCATCAAGCTGTGCAAGCTTTGATAAGCAACGCATCAAAAAAGACATAACAAACTGTAACTCTGTTGCGGCCTCTTTTTTCTAAGACATCCTTCTCTTGAATAATATCCATCAAACGAACCCTGATATGATATGTATACATTTTAGCTTGTACAAAACAGTAGTAAAGCATTTATTTTTATTTAAATATATACGCATGTTCCGGTGGTCGGAGAACACATCTGGTTTGTTCCACATATGCCGCATGAAGATGGGTGATTTGGAGCAGCTACAATTCATACAAAAAAAGATATAGAAATACCCTGTTACAGACGAAGTAATTATTTATATACTTAAATTTGACTGCAAAATAATAGTAAGGTTTTATTTACCTGAACAAGTATACCCATTGCCAACATATCCAGGCTGACATTGACATACGTGAGTTTCACATTCCGCATAAAACCCACATTTGCCACCACAACCATCGTCTACAATTAAAAAATATTTAGATTTTTAATCTTAATATTAGACTAATTTTTATAAAGGGAGAAAAATAAAGATTAGGAGCAGCAAAACTTTTTTCTTCAAATTTTTTTTTGACTTCAATATTTTTATTTTTTACAAACGTATATGTCCATTACATACAATACAATACAAACGTATATGTCCCTTGTATTTATTCCATTATATCAATTTCATCAGCAATTAATATTAATATTAATGTTGTTATGGTAAAAAAAAAAAAATCAAAACTCATTTATGTGAATAAAAAGAAGTGGTGGCCAAATGAAACAAACAAATTACATTACAAAATTACATTACAAAATTACAAACAAAATCATTAAAAAAAAGGTGTTGTTTATCAATTTAACGTTGATTTAGTAAACATATTTTTTTCATGCTTCGTTTAAGAAAAAATACTATTTGAGCTACATTATCAATAACTTTATTTAAATTGTAACATATTGTGTGATTTTTTTATTAGCAAGTTTACATTCATTAAAAAGAATAGGTTTGTCAACCAGATTATTGCTAACCAGATAGGATTTATTAACGAGATCTTTAAAAAAATTAAGTGCACTTATGTTTACAAGTAAAATGTTCTTCTTATTGACAATATGCGATAGGTAAAAAGTTTTTTAAGAAGGTTTTAAAGATAAACCGGTTTGTTTCCCTAAACCAGTTTAATGGTTTTCTAAACCGGTTTAATGTTGCTCTAAATGCAGTTCTGAATTATGTACTCAACAAAATATAAAGTAAAAAAAATGTGGTATTGATAAAAAAAAGAAGAGAATAATGTATTATTTTTAGCAATAATTCGTTAATTAATTATAAAATCAGCAAATTAAACAGTATAATATGTATAATACTTTAACAATTGTCCTGGCTACCAGTGGTACTATAACTAAGTCCTGGTAACCAGTGGTAATGAAGATGAAGTAATAATTTTAACAACTGGCAATGAACGAAACTTGATGTTGGTAACAAATTACAATAAAAAAGTGGTACAAGAATATTAATTCAAAATGTTACATACATTTGCACGAAGTAGTTAAAAATGTTACGCACATATACATTAAATAATTCAAAATGTTATGTACATTTACATAAAATAACTCTAAAAAAAACTAAAACTAATATATATTTCTTTCATAAAAGTTGGTGGAGAAATAACAAGAACCTGTTTATAACAATCAATGTTCAACAAGAAAAAAAGAGAAGAAAAAAAGAAGAAAAGCCTTGTAACGAATAATAATAGACAAAAGTATTTTTTTGTTTACCTTTAATACACTCATACCCATTTCCTGTCCATCCATTTCTGCATTTGCAATGTCCATTGATACATTTGGCGTGAGGGTCGCATTTAGCACACTTGTCAACTAAAGTAAGAATCGAATATCAAAGTACTTTTTTGAAGAACAATATATTACAACTAAAAACAAAATTAAAATATAACATTTATTTTTAAATGTAAACATATTTTATTATTTTGTTATTTAACTGACTATTTTTGAATAAAATAATCATTTCCATTTAGCCAATTCCCATACTATATAAAAAACGTATAAAAAAAAAAATTATACTACAACTATAATAAAATATTTAAAAGTTTCTAATAACTTTGAGAGTAATTATCACTCCAAATAATTATTAGATACTTACAATGCAAGCAATGAAGACATAAGAGTATAAAAACACTGCTAAAATTTGTATAAAGCCTGCAAAGAAGCATTGCAAATAATTAAACAAAGCAAAGTATCAAAATAGGTAATGAATGTTGGTTCCAGATCATTTCTAAGACCTGCTAGAGAAGAGAACAATCATTGTTCATTTTGCTGGAAGAAAAAAAAAGTATTTTGGATGCCACCCTCAGACAGATCTTGCAAACTTTCCAGAAGGCGCTGCTACCTGGCACCTATTTTAACCCATGCAAATAAGCAAATAGTTGCAAATAAGCAAAATAAATTTTTTAATTTAAAAGATATAAAGATCTGGTAACTAAATGACTAAGAAGAAACTTTTGAAAACATTTAGAATAGAATTTAAAAGAAAACAGTATTTTAAAACACTTGCAAATTGTTTTTTGCTTTTTTTAATTATTTTCATGCATTAAAAACAACCATTATTACATTAAAATGTAAGAGTTAAAAATTTTTATAAGCTAGCTCTTTTTTTAGAAGAGGGAAGGAACTATAACTTTAAATATTTAATACAGATCTAGATAAAAAAAAATATTTTCTAAAGAATATCTTGTTTTAAAATATATCTTTTATATATTTTGAATAATATATATATATAAAAAACTTTTTTTTTTAAAAGTAAATTTGTTTTATACTGGAGCAAACAATAAAACACAAATATTTGTATTATACTTTACATATTTTTAAAAATATTTATATTTTATATTTTTTTGAAGGTGAAAAACATTATCCTCTTCAAAAAAAAAATTATTGAACCATTAAAAAAATTTACTTTAGGGAAAAATGCAGTTTTTTAGTTTTCAGAAAGTTAACATTTTTGGACTTCCACCCTTTTAACATTTAATTATTCATTTAAAAACTTTATTTTAAACAAAATCTAAAAAATCAACTTTTAGATATATTACTCCAGAAGCACAAAAAATATGTGTGTGTATATATATATATATATATATATATATATATATATATATATATATATATATATATATATATATATATATATATATATATATATATATATATATACACACACACACACAAATATACACATACATTATAAATATATTAATACATATATGCATATTTAAGTTTAAAAAACTCTTACCTTCACACAAACTTCCAGTGTACTGCATATCACAAATACAATCAAACCCATTACCATTTTCTTTACAGCTACCACTGTTTAAACAAGGATTAGGATGACAAACAGCTTGTGATCCTCCCCCTGGTGATGGTTCTAAATATTTATTTTTTATTAGTAACATTTTTAATCATTTATTTCTTTTAACTTTTTATTTTAATTCTTTACTAATTCTGAAATTAATACTAATGTTGACAAATTTGCATTATTTCTAATTATTTTTATATATTTAAAAGTACTATAAATTCTCTTTAACAATTATTCTTTTTATAGTAATCTCTTGGTCTTACTGATAATTTTTAACAATTTTCCTCAATTCAGTTTATAAATTAAAGTTTAACAGTTTTCTAATCATTTCACTTCCTAAATTATAATCTATATATTATGGAGATCTGATTCTTCTGATTCCTTTTTGGTTGCTTCTCCAAAAAAATACAAATTTTGAATACCTTCACATTTTGGTCCTTTAAAGCCAATATTACAAACACATTGATATGTTTCACCAACAGCAACACATGTCCCACCATTTAGACATGGGTTGTTTAAACACGGATCACCTCTACCACCAGATAAGTGATCTAAAAGAAATTGAAAAAATATAGCGCATTATATTTCAAAAGAAGTTTTAAAAAATAAAAATAAATTATAATGCATCACCTTGACAGTATCTACCCCCAAATCCATCTGGACAAACACACTTATATCCCCATGTAATAATATCTGTTACACATGTGCCTCCATTTTGACATTGATGATTTATGCATGGATCTTTTGAACGTTCATCTTTTGATAAATAAAACCACAAAAATAAAAAAAAATAATGCTCAAATAAAAAAAAACATTTTTTATTTTAGACAAAGCAACAAAAAATTTTTATCAATAAAATAATATAACACATTTTTCTTAACATTAACTTAAAAATTAACAACAAAAAATTTCCTAAATGTCACTGGAAAAAGAAGAGGAGTAAAATACAAATTTTTAAATAATTTATTCAGCAGTACACTTAAATGGGGTAGTGGTAGAGCACTCGCTTCATAAGTGAGAAGATACCCGCCACATTCCTGTGGTATTGCTCTCAACATGTATCTCTAATAAGTTAAATTCAATGTAATATCTATATTTGCTGTTAAGCGCCATGATGAGAAAAAATATTAACATTACAAATAATAATAAATGATAAAGAACATAAGGTATTTACTAATGTTACTTAGTACTATGACATCATGGTGTGGAGGGAAGTAATGTTAACAGACTGTAATATAACAAACAAATTAAACATCTGAATAGTGATAAAAATGATAAATACTTTAATAATGAAAAAAAGAACTGTGCACTGTATAGCATTGATACTCTTGCAATATGAAAATGACCCAGTAGACACTTGTGTTTAAGACATTGAAAACACATATTAAAACATTTTTTAACATCTAAAACAGGTCTTGTACCCACTGGAAAACAGCCAAAACAATTTATTTGACAGATGACCAATTTATTTGACAGATAGACCAACATGAAGCCTATTAGCTTGTTGCTCTACGATTAAAAAGTTACAAAATCATAGAAGAACTAAGAGCCATAAAGGTTCAAGAGGACGTCTTGTACAAAGAACTGGTGACAAAATTGGAAATGTTAGAAATAAAAAAATCATTGCTAATTTCTCTATATGAATTTTTTTATACTTATCCTGTGTCAAGACTGTATCTGCTGTTGAACTCAAGTTGATGCAGGACCATTATCTGTTAATGATCATTGACTTGATCATTAACAGATAATGGTCCTGTATCAACTTGAGTTAGTCCAACAAGATGACCGCAAATAAAATAAATTATATATGAAGAAAGAAATACAAGGGATGTTACAACTGTGAATCATTAACTCACTTTGCACATGAATGTATTTCTTTATGTAGGAATGATTGCACAAACATACTGTGAAAGACTGCTACAAGCATCTACTAAACCAGGAAAATTTAAATGGGACAAGTTTGCATTAGGTATTTGAAAGTATGCATTAGGTATTTGAAAGTTTGCATTAGATACAAAAACACATCCCGAAACTATATTACCTACAATTGACCTTATAAAAAACAGAAGAAAAAGTTACAAAAACTTGGTATAGAATAAGTGACGACCTGCTAAACATTTTGATCTTAAAAGCCCTTTTTTTTGTTAAAATCAATATAAATAAAAAATTAAATTAAAATAAAAAAATAAAACTGCTTAAATTTCCTGTTTTTTATCATTTACTAGTAGAATTTTTTTTTATTAATTTTGATTAAAATACTAGTAAATTAAAAAGTTGGTAAAAGGACAAATTCCAACTTCTATTAATTATAACTTTTATAACTTCTGAGTATCGGTCACTCACAATTTATTAATACCAAGAAGTTACATCCAACTATAAAGTAATTTGTTTAATAGATGTAGCAACAATGAATAGAGCAATTCAGTGTGAAGAAGTTAGTGTTAAACTACACCACACAACAAAAGGGTGTTTAGTAGATACATTGGTTTTAAGTATGGATGACTATAGGTATGGATTTAATAAAAATGTAATATAAAGTATTAAGGTAAAGAATAAGATAGATAAAATCAGCAGTGGAAGTTGAATTATCATTGACTCCTTGTAACAATTAAAGTTAAAACAAGCAAAGCGTATTTTGATGGCAAAAAATGGATTGTAAGTTGCTAATGCAAGCCATGTATCACAGCTAATTCAAAATAAATTTTTTATCGGAGGGAGAGGGTGTCAATTTGACAAGAAAATGATACCAACTTGAAAGGCTGTTTATCAAATACTGTATGTATTCTTAATGCAAAACTGAATTGTTACAAAAGGTCAAATGAGTTCGGTCAAACTTTAAATAATTTTCATTTAAAATTTGTTTTTTTACTAGATAAGAAGAATCAATATGTTTGCTATGCTTTTATTTAAGTGAAATTTTTTTCCTTGAGAAGGAAACATAAAAGACTTTTAAAACTTAAACACTTTAAAATTTTATATTTTTGTACTTAAAAAATCCTCTGTGATGCTACTTATAAATAAAAACTGTTCACTATTTTCTAACTTTACATAAACTAATAAAAGAAAAAAAACAAAAAAATCAAGGAAACAATTCAACTAACCAACCCTTTGACACATGTTAATGCCGTCACCTTCAAAGCCAGTATTACACTCACAATGACCATTAATACATTGAGCATTCACGTGGCAGCGTTCACAATTATCAACTATAAATATTAAATTGTCAATTTTTAGAATAGCAAGTATAATATATAAACATATAATATATATACATATAATATATAAACATATAATATATATACATATAATATATAAACATATAATATATATACATATAATATATAAACATATAATATATAAACATATAATATATAAACATTTATATAAACAAAAAGGTGATACACATAGATGGTAAATATGACTTACCTTGACATTTATCACCTGAGTATCGCAGTTCACACTCACAAGTAGGACTACCATTGAAATCGTTGCATCTACCATTATGTAAACATGGATTAGGCTGGCAGGGATCAGGCTCTATACAATTTATGATATTATGTATATAATGTATTCATTTATACTTAAAAAAGGTTATAAATATTTTGCTACATATTTTATTGAATATAGATTAAATCATTAAATTTATTTATTCAACATCTTTCATCATTGTAGCTAGGATAAAATACTTTAAAAAAACCAGCAGCTGTATTCACTTCTCTTCATTAAGCTTAATGGAGCTTTTGTCTGAGACTTCATTACAGTATTTCTAAGGAAAGGAATGAAAAAAAATGTATTTAAATTTGTTTAAATAAAACTAAAGTAAAACATTTATGTTTAAAAAATTATTTTTTTTAAGAATTTTTTTATTAATGTAGTTAAAAAGAAATTTTTTACTGATGCTCCATAAAGTTTAACAGAGAGATAAAAATAATGCTCCATAAAGCTTAACAGAGAGATGAGAATTGGGTGCCAGAATTAAGTCAAAAACAAGTTTTTTTACAACTTGAAATGAATACTCTTTTCTAAACAAAATAGATAAAAAAAAGCTAAAATAAAATAAAAGTAACCGAAAGGAGGAAGTTTATGTACCTACAGAGCATGTAATCTACTTACAGCAAATAATCTACATGTAATCTACAAAACACATGTTTAAAGACGGAAATGTCACAAATATTAGATTTAAAAATCATAAATTATAAGCACATTTTTTATTTTAGTTTTCAGTTTTTTTTAATATAATTTTATTATATAAAACAACTTGAAAAGGGTTATATTTAAACTAGTGGTAAACTTACCTTATAAAAAAAAAGTTGCTTATAGAACTTGCTTTTATAGGTGAAGGTTATGAGAAGGCAACTTTAACAAAAAATACCTTTTTGAGTATATCCTTACCCTACTATCATTTGCACTTGTGTACATTTTTGGTTTAAATGGTTTAGTTCACTCTAATAATTTAATTCAAGACTATATTGCAAAAAATAATTAAAAACAAAAAATAATTGCCACCATTGATTTGTTTTAGCATAACTTTTACAAAAATTTATGGTATTCATATTAAATTTTTATTTTTGAAATCTGGTATAAAACTCATCAGACCTACTTGTTTTTTCATTTTTAGATTATAGTGTTGATGATTAGTACCCTCTGACCAAAGACTCTAACAATCTTATACTATCATATTCTTCGAAAAATTTTCACTACTGGCCTCTCATGGAATCATCATATGTTAAATCTATTGGAAAATTAGTATCTGCTAAGGTTGTCTCTTTCTATCATATTTGTCATTTTCTTATTCAAGATTTTATTCTCTATTTCTTTTAATCTTTTATTCTTCTTTGTATTGAAAACTGTTGTCATATCCGTATTGGATAATACTTTTTTATTGATACCCTTTTTTGTTTATAAAAAGTAAAAAAAAAAAGTTGCACATGCAATTAGACCTGCTTTAGTATCTAAGTTTAAAACAATGGCACACTGCTGTAAGGTTTCTCTTTTTAGCTAAATTAGGCTATTAGTTTTTTTTTAATCAAAGTTCAACCTTGTGTGTTTAGTCATTCAGCAAAGTTTTTTACTGCTCCTTTCTGTTTCTGCTTAAATTATTATTCTTTTTTTTTCCTTCTCAAACATCAATGGTTGGAAATTTTATCATTCAACATTGAGAAAAAACACAATAGGATGGAAGTTCTATTCCATCTACATGTTTTCCTAATATCCTGATGCTACTCGATTTTTAGTGGTTTAGATTTTTGCTGATACTACTAAAGAGGTTTATTATTTTTAACTTTTATTGGTTTCATTGGGTCCTCAATTGATAAAAATTTAAATACAGCTAAACACATATACACTAAACATCTTATATCATTTAAATACAAAATACAGCTTGCCTTACTTTATTACAATTTGTGCACTCTCAGTAATTCAATTTTAACTATCATATTCTCAAACACATAATGAAAGGTGCAGATGATTTACTAATAGAAAAAGTAATTTAGTAAAGGGGATAACTTTTTGAACTAAGTTTTTTGGTATTTAAAATAAGAAAATAGTCAGAGGTTTTTTACAATGTTTTAGGAAATTTTATCATACGGTGAAGAAAACTTTGACATTAATAAAAAATAAAAAGTCTATAAAACAATGGCTCTTTATTAACTTATTTTCAGATAGGTATTTTCATAACGCAGGTAGATTACTTTGGTAGAACTTCTTTCTAAAGCGGGTTTGTGAAATAAATGTGGAAGTAGATTACTTTGAACTTCTTTCTAAGCGTGCATGTGAAATATATGTAAAAGTAGATTACTTTGAACTTCTTTCTAAGGGTGTATGCGAAATAAATGTGAAAGTAGATTACTTTGAACTTCTTTCTAAGGGTGTATGTGAAATAAATGTGAAAGTAGATTACTTTGAACTTCTTTCTAAAGTGCGTATGTGAAATATATGTGAAAGTAGATTTTTTTTTTAAACATCTTCGCTTCCAACAAGGCTGCAAGCAACCACTAATTAGTGTTGGAAGTTACTGGAAGAGAAAAGATGAAGGTTGTAGAGCAAGATAACGATTGACAGATAACTTAAAATTGCAAATTATATGAATCAGGAAAGCAAGATGAAAAAAGCGAATTCCAAAGAACTGATGTTTGAGGAAAAAAACTAGACGAATAAGAGTTTTTGGAGCACTTAGGAACAGTAACAGAAAAAGGATGAGACTTAATTGAATGACGAGTAACATGAGAATGAATTTTAGTAGATGGCACAAGAGACGCTAGCTCTTTAGAGCAGTGCCCATATAGTATTTGTTGAAAAGAGAAAGAGAAGCAACATTATGACGATGTGACAGAGGTTGAAGGTTGGCTGCAAGAGCAGGTTCAACTATGTTTACAATGCATTTTTTCACCTTGTCTAAAAGAGAAAGGGCATCATTAGAAGATCCGCCCCAGATATGGCAACAGTATTCTATACAAGGTCGGATTTGAGATTTATAGAGATAGAGAATAGAATCTAGAGTAAGAAAGTGTCAGCTCAATAAAGAGATGCAACTTTAGCAGATGCTAATTTTGCAACGGATTTGATATAAGGTTTCCAAGAAAGATCAGAAGCGAGAGTTAATCCTAGAAGATGAAGGGTAGATGACTCATCAAGTACATTACCGTTCATAAATATAAGAAGGTCTAAATTATTGCGATAACGATTGGCTGAAAAAAGTGACAAAAATATATTAAGTGATTAAAATTATATAAATATATTTTCAGTTAAGGAAATTACTTTTTTTAATTTATTTTTGAACATATAATAATTCCATTCATGAGAAAATCAAAATTTTTTAAAATTATTTGATTCCATATAAAAGCTCCACGAAAAGAAATGCAAAATTTACCAAAGCTTGTTTGAAATTTTGGTTGTTGAATCCGAGATATTTCGGATAGACTTTAAATAGTTTGCAATTTTTTAAAAAGTTTATGTCTAAGAGAACTTTTTTACTTTTAATATGAAGTTTTTCAAGTTTTCGTAAAATATGTAAAGTTAAACCTTCTTGTGAAAGGTTTGCTAAATCGTGAAATATTTTTTGTGATCAACATAATAGCATAAAATAAGTAATTATTTTTAAAAATAACACAATGTTTTTTATTATTGTATATGAAATAAATGTGAAAGTAGATTACATTGAACTTCTTTCTAAGGGTGTATGTGAAATATATGTGAAAGTAGATTACTTTGAACTTCTTTCTAAGGGTGTATGTGAAATAAATGTGAAGGTAGAAAAACTATTTAAAAAAGTGCAAACAATTTTTATCTAGAACAAAATAATAATTTCAAAACATTAATATAATTAAAAACTAATTTATTCCAGTAAGTGTCCGATAAAATTTGCAATTTGTCTAATAAATTTGGCAATTTAACCTTTAATACTTTTTTTTAAAAAAAATGATAAAAAATAAAAAGATTAAAATTCAAGAAAAACGTGACAATAAAATTATTATAATACATAAAATTAACAATTATTAAATTAAAAAAATTACTTTCGCATTCTTTTCCTTTATAACCTTCACACAAACATTTGAAGCCTCCAGTTAATGGTATACAGGTTCCACCATTTTTGCATGGATTAGGTTCACAATACTTTCGATCTAAACAAAACATTTAATATACATTTTTATAACTATAAATCTTTAAACATCAAAAATAATATTTTTAAACATGTTTTAAAATACTGTAAATTTCTTGACATATACGTTAATAATACAAAAATATAATATATATAAGATTTGTAACAAAGTTATGTCATTAATATAATATATATAAGATTTGTAACAAAGCTTATTTTATCAACATATATGCCATATATGCTATATTGTCAAAAAATAAAACTATTATAATCTAGAAAAAATGTTTTATGTTATTGAAATATTGATAATGATGACATCATGATGGCAAGCAAGGATTAAGAATTAAGAATTAAGAGGATAAAAATAAAACTTAATGTCAGGTGAAACCATTGATATTTTCTCATCAATAGTTAGTAGATTTCAATTTAGATATTATGAAAGATAAACTTAGTTGTTTGTTTTTTAACTTGAAGTTGTTTTGTTTTTTACTTGAATAAATCTGACTAAAGTTAGTCAACTTTAAAGTTTAAGGTTTTTAAGCTTAAAGTTTTCTTATTTAAATATAACTTCTTTTTTTAAACAATTTTTGTTATATTTTAAAATTTTTATGAAAAAATATTAAATTGTTTTATCTTATTGTTTTACCTTACTTAAAAATACTTCTTAGAAATTTTTAAAACTTTAACTTAGTTTGTTATGCATTCAAAATATATTCCATAACTATATTACCTTCGTTTAAAATACAAACAGGAAATAACTATGTAAAGTCTTATAAATATCTGGGATGTAAATATCTGGGATTTAAATTGAATCCAACGCTATCTCTGAAAAATCATTTTAAAGATAATTACAGAAAAGCATGTAGTCATTTAAAATTGCTCAATAATTTGAAGATCTTCCTCCCTACAAAGACCTTATTTATCAACAAATGTTTCGATATTAAGATTTAACTTCAATATCATTCTTAATTTTTTAGCAATACACAAATCCAAATTAAGTTTAGTCAAATCAAATTTTAAAAAGTTTAATCAACTGAAGAGCAAACTTAGCCATAACAAACTCGACTGAAGAGCAAACAAAAAGCCATCACAAACTCAAGAAAATTGTACTATCATCAATATAGATTTTTACTTACTTGTAAAAAAGTGTTTAAATAATGAATTCTATAAAAATGTTGCAAATTAATTTAAACCATTTAACATAAAAAATGTACCAGTCAAAATTTATTATTAAGAATTCCAAAAATAAAAGTAAAAATGACAAAAAATATTTTTCTTTGCATGAACCAAACTTTTCAAAGAGTTACCATCAGACATTCAAAATAATCCTGAATAATCCTATTTAAAATAAATTAAACTCTTTTTTAAAGTGTACATTTTACTAAATTGTTGTTCAATAAAAATTAAAATGGTCTGCAAGCTCAAATTGTTTTATTAACTATTTTGTAGTATATGTTTTTACAATAGCAAGATTCAAGATTATAAAAATTGAGATTTTCAAATTTAAAGATAATAAAAGAATAAGTTGCATAACTTTTACATATTTCATGTCAACTGTTATTTATTTTTATTTTATTACACACCCAATTTGAATTTTGAAAAATTCAAAAAATGCTAATGTTTTTTTCAATTTTGTCATTAGCTGATTTTTATGAACAAACTTCAAGATTTTAATAAAAAAAGAATAAAAGAAAATCTTTGTAATGATTGAAGCCATTATTTGTAATTATAATTTAGGTTGAATTTGAAACTAATAAAATAAATTTTTAGAAAACACTCATGAAGATATCTTTCTTATTCACTTTAATCCTTAACAACCCTTAGACAAATTAAGTTTCATAACCTAATTACACCACAGAGAGAAGTAAAAAACTTGGAATCAAAAAAATTATCACCATAAAAAAAGCTGATAAAAGAGGAAGTATAACTGTTGAATTATTATTATTTTTAACACGAGTGATTATGAAAACAATTATAAAGATTTACTATTGGATGACTAAGCAAATGCCCATTACCATATGAACCAACTTTGCACACAATAAACATCATATCTCTTATGATGTTTGTTGTGTGCAAGAAGCACGTAGAACCCCACTTTACGCTAATCATTTTTTAGGCCATCTTGATACTATTATTACATTTTACAAATGTTTTATTAATGACATTTTTTTGTTTTTACAGGCTCCAGAGGAGAACTTCTACTAGTTAAGGCATTCATTAACATCCTCTACCATCATCCTCTGCCATCATTCATTAACATCCTCTACCATACTATCAAATTCACTTTTAAATCATTAGTAAATTATTCAGTGTCTTAATGTACAAACTTATTCATTCAAATTCAAAGTGGTTTTGAGATTGAAATATTCAAAACTTCAACTGATAATGATACTTTATTATTTCAAAAATATTGATAATGAATACAAAAAATCATGTTAGGTATGTTAAATATAAATATAATAGTATCTTTAATGCCAGAAGTTCTATATACAGAACAAATTCAAATATGGTAAAAATTCCAACTTTGTATACAGAAAATTCTAGATTTTACCTTAAAACATGAAGAAAAAAAATTTTTTTTAATTCATGTTTAAATCTACTGATTATTCCAAATTTATTATAAAAAAAATTCTATATTTAAAGATAAAATTGGAGGTTGGTAAGAGTTAAAAGCAGTTAAATACTTTAAACATGTTTAAAGATTCTTAAATTTTTTTTTCAACAAGTTTGTTATTTTTTTATTTCATTAGTTTTTCTTGGATAACAAAATAAAATAAAATTTGAGAAAGCCTTTTCAAAAAAAAAAAAAGTTTTATTGCCATTGACAATAAAACTTTTGAAGTAAACATTAACAATTAAAATTAAAATCATAAAAATCATTTTCAAATATTGAGTATTAAGTACCTTGACAATGTTCTCCAGTCCATCCAAGTGGACATATGCAGTCATATGAACCAAGGTAGTCTTTACAGGTGCCACCATTTAAACAAGGGTTGTTAGGGTGACACAAACTTTCTTAGAGAAAATTAAAGGAAATCAATTGCTGCTTCATAATTAATTAGAAAAACTCATTATTTAAATAAAATTTTTCAATAACTAGATTTAACATTTTTAGCCAAACAATTGAAACATTAAAATCTTACTTCTAACGCAAACTTTTCCATCACCTTGATATCCTTCTTTGCAAATACATTTGCCTTTCTCACAAATTGCATGTGGATCGCAAAATCTGCATTCATCATCTTTAAAAGGAATAAAACAGAAAGTTAAAAATATTTATTCACATAACAGAATTTTAAAAGTGTTTTAATGACAAATGATGGAAATAGTACTGAAAACTCTTGCAAAATATCAACTATACATTTTAAAATAACTTTTTAATTAATATATTAATTTTAAAAAAATCTCTGGAAGTTCACTAAAAATACATTAAGATAAATCTGGATGGTCCACTCTCATATAGCATTGCTAAAATTATAATCAAAAATTAAAAAAAAACTGATTAAATTAGAAAAAAAAACACACAAACAAATAAGTAAAAATTAAAACAAAGTAAATAAACAAAAAAAAAAAGTATAAATCTTATATAAAAAAAGGAACTTTAATTTAGTATTATGCTTTTTGGTTTTATACTATTGATTAATAGAAAGTAATAAAAATACTCTCAGTTAATAAAAAATTAAATATGGGTATTAAAAGATATCCATATAATAAATATATACATTATTTCTATCCACAGGATTTCAAAAGGCATATTTGTAAAGATTAAATATATCTGTAGATATTATAGCATATTATTATCAACATATTAACTATAGAAAAAAATTTATTTCAAATTTATTTTTAACTATATTTTTATTCAAAACATAAAATGGAATAAAGGGCAATCGATTTTGCAAAAAAATTCTTTGACATAAATGTCATAATTTAGATAAAAAGTGATATATTAAATTTAGGTAAAAAAGTGATATATTGTCAGGGTTAGTGCAAAACCGCGTAACTAGCATTTTATAATACCGCGTATCTACAGTACATTTTTTTTACTGGAGAAGTTTAAAACTTTATTTATTTTTTATTTTAACTGATTTTGGGTTCATTTTAATAAAAAGAGTATTATTCATATTTTTTGTAATCTCAACAATAAATATTTGGTGTTAAAATTAATAATATCCAAATTTAGTAGCCAATGCTAGTTACACGGATTTGCACTATCCCCGACGATATTAAATTTGGGTAAAAAAGTGATATATCAAATTTAGATAAAAAAAGTGATATATTAAATTTAGATAAAAAAGTGATATATTAAATTTAGATAAAATAGCGCTATTTAACTTCCGAGAATGTTCAAAGGGACAACTAGCATACACACATCAATACAACTAATATATACACAGTATATATATATATATATATATATATATATATATATATATATATATATATATATATATATATATATATATATATATATATATATACATACATATATATATATATACATACATATATATATATATATATATATATATATATATATATATATATATATATATATATATATATATATATTCATATATATATATATATTCATATATATATATATTCATATATATATATATATTCATATATATATATTCATATATATATATATACACACGTATATATATAGGAAATTTGTATATGTTTTGTCTATTATTTTCAAAAAAATTAAACTGGCAATCTCTAATTTACTCTCATTTAATTCTAATATATATAAATATTTTGTAAACAAAAAATGGTATACATTAGTATTGTTAACAAATAATAAATTAGGTTTAAAGCGGAATCACGCACAGAACAGAAAAACTTAAATTTTAGTTACTAAATAAATAAACTTAATTTCCTCGGAAAAGTTTCAGCAGTATACTTTTTATTTAAGGTAATATTTTAAACATTAGTAAAGATAATAGTATGTGTATTGGTTTAAGTCCCAGCTTCTAATTGTTAAAACAATCTATACAAACCATCTCCTACATGATTCAGCTGGAAATGGCTCCAAGCCAAGAGTTAATAAGTAGTTGTATTGATAGAAAAAAGAATGAAAAAAACATGAGGCACCTCAAAATCATGTATGATTACAGTTATAGAGTTTCACAATGGCCCTAAATAATTACTTGTTAACAAAAAGACAAACATCAATTGCCGTTAAATAAAAAAGATACTAATGTGAAATAATAAGCAGCAACAAAGAATTTGCTAGAGATGTGATTGGCTGTATTGGATTCTGAAAATCATACATCATTGATGAGTCCTTATTAACTTAGACTCATAGTGCAATGATTGACAATAATACTTTTTACATAAGCAAAGTTGAACTAATTCTTGTCTGTCAAGGTTGAACCAACCCCTGTCTGGTTAAAATATAAAAAAACTGCAAACTTCAATTAAGATAGTCTGGTTGTGCAATTCTGATCAAGGTTGTCAAAACCAAACTTTGTTCCCAGCAGCCTTTGAGTTAACCAAAATCACGCCATAACAGTGATGTCATTCTTTGAAAAGAATTCTATAAAGGGGATAACTTGCCATATATCTCAGTATATTACGCTAGTGAAGATTTTTGGAGTATTCTAAATAGAATGGTCTATGCAAAGAACTAGCAAGAAAAAAATCTGTAACAATTCCATATTAAAAAATCTGTAACAATTCCATTGCCTCAAGGAGTCAACAAGAAGCCAACCTTGCAAAAGACCTAGCCAAGTCAACTTGTCCAAGAATTAGAGAAATCAAAAATATTAGGCTAATAGAAGAAATTTAAATTGATACTAATCATGAAATGTTTGATTTTCTGTTCAACTTGTAGCATTTTTTAATTTGTAAAAACTTAAAAAGTAATACTAATTTATAATTTTTAAGAATTTTTATCGAACACTCATAACGAATGTGTATTTTTAATGAACTTGTATAAAGAAAAAAAAAAGGGAATAAATGTAATTAATTTAAATAAAAACACACTAATGAATCAAAGACTGTAGACTGAACACTTGATTACTTTTGAATAAAAAAGACTTGTTCTAACATAACTATAAATTACCTTCACAGTTTTTTCCAGAAAACCCATCAGGACAATGACAATGATACATGACGTTGTTTGTGCTAATAAAAACAGGTATTTGATAAACATTTTCGTTAAAATACTCATAACATGTTCCTCCATTTAGACAAGGTTGTGCAACACATGGGCTTGCAGCTAAAAAAAATTATTACATAATTTAAACAACATTAAAAAACAATAAATTTATCAATCATTATTAAACAATTCATCATTATTGTCACAATCAAAAAAAATTTTAATATAAAAAATAAAATTTCAATTTCCACATACATTGACATTTTTCTCCAAGAAAACCATCTGCACATGCACAAAATGCATTTCCATTTTTAACATAACAAGTACCTCCATTTGCACATGGCAATGGATGGCATACATGATCTAAATATATCCATAACCTATTTTAGAAATTTTTTAATTCTATTTTTATTTTCTGAAATTTAAAAGGTTTTACCTTGACAATTTTGTCCTTTGTATCCACTTCTACAGGAACATGAATAGCCAAAGTTTTCTTCATTGCAAGTGCCACCATTTAAACATGGATTTGATGAACAACTACTTCTCGCTAAATGATAAAACAATTAACTTCATATTTTAAAATATGAACAGAAACTTAAAAAACAAAAAGACAAAATAAATTTAGTTATACTATTTATCTTATTGCTATTAAACTATTGTTGTTATTGTTATTGTTATCTTTACTATCATTAAACTACCATTACTACTAATATAATATTAGTTTAATTTGAGTAACTATTTGTTAAGGATAAAAATAGATTCTATGCTACATTAACACATATACAAAATAAAATTAAAAACCTTCGCAAGTGACTCCTTTAAATCCAATTGTACAAGTGCATTCAAATTTCCCATTTCTCTCAGCACATGTTCCACCATTTTTACATGGACTTGGGCTACATTGATTAATCTCTGAGCATTAAAAATAAAAACAAAAAACAACAATTGATATATATATATATATATATATATATATATATATATATATATATATATATATATATATATATATATATATATATATATATATATATATACATATATATCATGTTAACATATTCTACAAGTGGAGTGCTTAATGTTCTTAAAGAACAGAGCAATAATAAATTAGTAAAAACACTAATAAAATTTTTTGTCAACAATTTGTTGAACCTACTGATGATATATATATATATATATATATATATATATATATATATATATATATATATATATATATATATATATATATATATCAGCCTCGGAATTAGGGTTGGTGAAGTGTTTAATATCAGCAAATATATATATATATATATATATATATATATATATATATATATATATATATATATATATATATATATATATATATATATATATAGTCACGGCCAAAAATATGAGTACATTGTGTAATAGAAGATCAAAATAAATTTGGCTAATTAATACCCTGTGCTTCTAAGGAAATTTTCCAAAATATTATTCTAAGGAAATTTTCTATTGTATTTTCGTCCTTGGCATTAGGGAGTTATTTTATTCAATGTCAAATTTTAATTATAAAGGCAAGTTTGTGTGTTTAAATTGCATTTTATATGTATACCTGTGTTGCAGAAAACATGAGGAGTTCTCAGTAACAATCTAGAATATTTTTGTTAGGTTATAAAAGTGAAAGCAAAGTGTTTGTTGAATTTCAAAAATAATTTTCTTCGTTTTGCTACATAAATAACTAAAAAACAATTTATGGAGCTATCAGCGAATATGTTGATGTTCACGTATGAATTTTTGACAGTCTATTTTAGCATTTTATACAATTGTATACTTACTTTAATTTTGATGCAAGTTTATGATATTTTCTAGGTCATTTAGCAAGAATATGTGTATTTATGAAGACTAATAAACAAATCCTCAAAGAAATATAATTAAAGTATACATACATATTTATTTTTTTATTTTTTGTAGAATGGCAAAAGTTAAAGAGCTGTCAGTTGTAGAGCGAGCTCAGATAAAATGTTTGTTTGATCAAAAACTATCCTATGCACGAATTGCAAAGCAGTTTGGTTTTTCGGTTTGGTTAGCGCAGACAACATGAAGGCGACTAACACAGTTTGGGGGTTAGAAACATGCAAGCAAAATGGTAGACCACGTAAAACTACTGCTCAGAATTACATAAGAAGACCTCCTAAACAACGCTATAATCCTGTGTATACTATTCCAACTGTGAAACAATATGAAAAGATTATGGTGTGGGGCACAACTTCTAGTTTTGGTATCTCGTGTTGTATGGCATTTCCTGGTTATTGGAAATGCCATACAACACGACAATAAATGGTGAAACATATCTCAGAGTTTTACAAGAGAAATTGCTTTTTCCTGATATAGTTTGTTTTATTATTATTATAATATTTACTGTTATTGGATACAGGTCTGTCAGATTTACTTACATACATATATACTATTAAACTCTGTTTTTAATTATTGCTTAAGTTAAAAGAGGTTTTAATTTTATTAGTGTAACTAGAAGAAAAATCCTTACTTTCACTTAGAGTCTTTACTTAAAACTCTTGTTGGACCAATTTATTATAGATTTTTTTCTAAATTATTATTGAGTTCTAATTTTACAAAACCATGAACTATATCAAACAGATTAACGTTAAGTTTGTTTTCCCTTAATTCCTTCAAAAAGAGTTTTTTTCTATTCTTTAACAAATTATTAAATTTTGGTTTGCTCATTTTAAGATCTTTAAAAACTTTTTTTTTGATAATAAGCATTTAGCTCAAACTAAATTTTGTACCTAATTTTTTACATTTTTTTATAAAAAAGATTTTTTTAATAAATTATTATTTTAATTGAGAAATCATTTGTATTTTCTAAAATGACTAAGCTCCACTGGATTTTTTAAAGTGTCCAGGATTAATGTAAACCTTTTGCTTTTTTTTACCTGATCTTAAAGTTTTTTTTGACTTTAAAAAACCTGTTTTTAAAATTAACACAAATTTAAAAGATATTCTAATAACACAACAATGCCAGCAATAAACACAAACAATAAACGTAAACATACTCACAAGAATAAAATAATATGTTATTTTAAATTGTTTTCTGTTTTTTTTTTTTGTCTAAAAACAAGTAAATTTGTAAATAATTTACCTTCGCAAATCTTTCCTTTATATCCCTCTTTGCATGAACACTCAAATCCTTCTTCAGTCTCAGTACAGGTTCCACCATTTTTACATGGTGATGGGTGACATTTGTTTTCCTCTGTAAATTTACATTTTAAAATTTATAAAGTTGTATATATTCATATTTTATATAAAAAATAAAAAATATAAAAATAAAATAAATGTTACAAAAGCAAATTAAAAAAAGATATATATATATATATATATATATATAAATTTCAAATTTCATCCAATAATTTCTTATTTTTCGAAAATTATGACCATATAAAGTTTTAACCCCCCTCAATTTGAGGGGGCTGTAAATTTTGTAGGGTCATAAAAACTAAGAGGTTATTGCATGAAATTTGAAATTTGTTGATGAATATAAACTTAGATAAAAATACTAAAGAAATTATTTTGTCAATTTGCTGCTCCCACGTTAAGGGCTGAATGGGCCCGAAAATTGGTTTTTTTTTGTCCCCAAGCTTCAATCACCGCAACTTTTTGCAAAACATTCTCATTTGACATAAGTATGAACATACAAAAGTGTGGAGTTTGCAAAATACGTGTAAGTGTTAAAACTCAAACATCTAAAAATCCAGTGTACACCACTGATATATATATATATATATATATATATATATATATATATATATATATATATATATATATATATATATATATATATATATATATATATATTATATACATATATATATATATATATATATATATATATATATATATATATATATATATATATATATATATATATATATATATATATATATATATATATATATATATATATATATATATATATATATATATATATATATATATATATATTAGGGTGGCTCATAAAACTATATTTTTTGAAAATATCTGCTGGTACCCCTTAAACTTGTTCTATGTAATAAGTTAATATTGAATTTTAAAAAAATTTTTGAATGAAAAAACTTAGGGCTCGCTCAAGACTCTTAAACATCAGACAGGTCCCTAATATTCTAAAAAAAGTTCTTCAAAAGCATATTATGTAGGGTCTCAAAAGAAGCAAAATTTTATAAAACATTCAAAAACAGTAATCAATTTACATAAAGATTACTAGTTTAAATTTTGTTAAAAACTATTGTTTTTTCAAAAATAAAAAAGTACACATAGTTCATAGTTTTTTTAAATAAACTTTTTTAATTTGTGTTTTTCATGAACTTTTTTTATATTTTTGAAACTTTTATAAAATTTCACTTCTTTTGAGACCCAACATGATATGCTTTTAAATTGTAAATCTATATATATATTAAATATATTATATATATATATATATATATATATATATATATATATATATATATATATATATATATATATATATATATATATATATATATATATATATATATATATATATATATATATATATTAGGGTGGCTCATAAAACTATATTTTTTGAAAATATCTGCTGGTACCCCTTAAACTTGTTCTATGTAATAAGTTAATATTGAATTTTAAAAAAATTTTTGAATGAAAAAACTTAGGGCTCGCTCAAGACCCTTAAACATCAGACAGGTCCCTAATATTCTAAAAAAAAGTTCTTCAAAAGCATATTATGTAGGGTCTCAAAAGAAGCAAAATTTTATAAAACATTCAAAAACAGTAATCATTTTACATAAAGATTACTAGTTTAAATTTTGTTAAAAACTATTGTTTTTTCAAAAATAAAAAAGTACACATAGTTCATAGTTTTTTTAAATAAACTTTTTTAATTTGTGTTTTTCATGAACTTTTTTTATATTTTTGAAACTTTTATAAAATTTCACTTCTTTTGAGACCCAACATGATATGCTTTTAAATTGTAAATCTATATATATATATATATATATATATATATATATATATATATATATATATATATATATATATATATATATATATATATCATATATATATATATATATATATATATATATATATATATATATATATACATATATATATATATATATATATATATATATATATATATATATATATATATATATATATATATATATATATATATATATATATATATATATATATATATATATATATATATATATGATAAATAAACTATGACCAAAAAACAACAACTTCAAAACTAAAAAATCACTAATTCATAAATTTGCTATATACTTAATTTACTACACAAAATTTAATTACTACATTCTTTAAAATATTATTGTCTGAAGCTATGCTATTATAAAGCAACCCTTTTATCTGTCAGGGATGCGAAATCTCAAAAGGACTCCGGCTTTATATCTCTATTTTTTCCTGTAGTGTCCAGAAGCTCTAAACATGTTTGTTGACTTGATCTGCTATAAAAAAAATTTATGAGATTTAATGACTTGAAACTTATTGTTTTTAAGCCCCGAGTCCTTACCGCCATTATACCTAAGGACTCCGGATTCAAAAAATGATTGTTCCTCTAACCTAAAAGTCTTAATTTTTTTCCTTTAAGTAGTCCATAAACTTATTTATATTTTTAGAGCTCCTGGATACCAAAAACTAGGATAAAGTAATCTTTTTGTGACTTTCAAATCCAGAGTCCTTTTTTGGACTCTGGATTTGAAAGTCACAAAAGGATATATTATATATCCTATATTGGATATATATATATATATATATATATATATATATATATATATATACATATATATATATATATATATATATATATATATATATATATATATATATATATATATATATATATATATATATATATATATATATATATATATATATATTAATTTTGCTCCATTTTAAAGGGTTATTCATTCTTATATGCGCATCTATTTATTTTTATATGAGTGTTTATTCATTCTTATATGCGTGTTTATTCATTCTTATATGCCCATTTATTCATTTTTATATGCGCATTTATTCACTCTTATATGCACATTTATTCATTCTTATACGTGTGTTTATTCATTCTTATATGCGCGTTTATATGCCGGTCAACCACCTATAAAATTTCTAATATAATTTAATATAAACAATAAATACGCTTTTAAATTTTTATATAGATATCTTTAAAATATAAATTAGGTTGTTTTCATTGTTATTTATTTAGGAAATAGTTGCTGAGCCAGCGCTGGATTTATGTAACTACGCATATGGTTGTAAAATTAGAGAATTAAACTCTGTAGTCTCCATAATATTTTTAAGTTTCCTGATTACCCCATCCGTATATCGAGGCCTTTCTCCCTGTTTGTAAGTATGTTTTAAAGAAGAAAAAAATTCTTCTATTAAAATAAGCTGTGGTGTGTATGCTGCTGGCAGATACTTAACAGCTATACCATGAGAGGCTAGTGTTTGCCTAACAGAAAGAATCTAGTGGAATTTATAATTTTTCATAACAAGTACCGGCGCTTCCACATTTGCATTCCTAATCGCTGGTGCCATCATTGTAGTTATGAAAGTACAAAATAAATCTGCATTGCAGCCTCCAGTTTTTGTTTCATAAGCAAGCACTCCCATTGTTGAAACAGCACAAATTAAACTAACATTCTTACCACGATTTGCAGGTGACTGCAAAATTGCTGGAGTACCTCTTAGCAAATAACAATATGTGCTGTTAGTATGCACATTAAATCCAGTTTCATCCAAATAAATAAGTTTTTCATCTGAAATTCTGTTTATTTCGCTTGCAAATGCACAGCGCGCATTAATAACTCGTGTTGAGTTTCGTTCTTCTGGCACATGCACAACACATTTTCTTGATAAATCCGTTTTCTTGATAAAGCTGACTAGGATTCCTTTCGTGATTTTCTTCGTGATGGTCCTTGGGCTGATGTTTTTTCTCTCTCAGCTGACAAATGCGCCTCCTACGTAACCTCCTGGATTCAGGCTGGAATGGAAGCTTTTATTCCTTCTCGTCGGTTTCAAGTCAAGCCTCATTCTACTCCATGGTTTTCTCCTTCTTGTGCGGCTGCTATATCCAATCGTAATCATTTTTTTCATCTTTTTCAAAAGAACAACACTCTTGAGAACAAACGGCTATTTATTATTGCAAGAAATCGATGTAAAAAGGTGCTTTCTGATGCTAAACTCCATTATTCTCAGTTCACTAAATCTCGCATCTTATCGCAGAAGTTAGGCTCTAAAGACTTTTGGAAAATCTTCAACAGCATTGTTAACAAGGGTAGATCTAACATTCCATCTCTCATTCATGGGACTGATCTTATTACCTCTCCCAAGGATAAGGCATAACTATTTGCAAAGAACTTTTCTTCTAATTCCACTCTTATGTGGAATTAGAAGAAAATCTTATGGACATTCTCTTCCTTCCATTCCAGTCAAACAGGTTGACCCATTGTTAGACATTCAAATCACTCCGGCTTCTGTTGCTAAAGTCATATCTCAATTAAACTCGTCTACAGCTTGTGGTCCAGACAACATTCCTGTCACAGTCTTGCAGAGTTGTTCTCCAGAACTTTCTTCAATTCTCTCTAAACTATTTAACAAGTGTTTGACTGAGTCTTGCTTTCTTGCTTGTTGGAAAATGGCGTCTGTGGTTCCAATATTCAAAAACTCTGGAGAAAATTCTGACCCCTCCAATTATCGTCCGATCAGTCTTCTTTCTGTTATTAGCAAGGTCTTTGAGTCTTTGATCAACAAATTCCTCACATCTCATCTTGAGTCAAATAAACTGCTGTCAGACAATCAATGCGGTTTTCGATCCTCTCGCTCTACGGCTGACTTGCTAACTGCTGTAACTGAAAGATTTTATTGTGCATTAGATGGAGGCAGTGAGGCTAGGGCTATTGCTCTCGACATATCTAAAGCTTTCGACAAAGTTTGGCATGCTGGTCTTCTCCATAAGCTTGCTTCATATGGTGTTTCTGGGAAAGTTTTTGAGATTATCAAATCATTTCTTTCTAACCGGTTTATTAAAGTCATCCTTGAAGGTCAACACTCTTCTTTATTTCCAGTAACTTCTGGGGTTCCCCAAGGTTCCATCCTGGGCCCTGTTTTGTTTCTTATCTACATAAACGATCTTCCTGACAACCTTTCATCTAAAGTAGCTCTTTTTGCTGATGAAAAGTCTTCTATTTTCGATTGCCTAGAACTAGCAGCTGATCTTGAATCTGATCTCACTTCAGTAATAGATTGGAGTTCACAGTGGCTTGTGAATTTCAACTCTAAAAAAACCCAATTGCTTACTGCAAACAACTACCGTAATATGGTCAACATTCCTATATTAATGAATGGTAATCCTCTTACTGAGTCCTCCTCTTTACGTCTTCTTGGATTATCGCTTATTACTGACCTTTCATGGAAACCATGTATACAATTGATTGCTAAATTAGCTTCTGCTAAGGTTGCTTCTCTTTATCGTGCTCGCCATTTCCTTACTTCTGATTCCATTCTCTACCTCTACAAATCTCTTATTTGTCCCTGTATGGAATACTGTTGTCATATTTGGGCTGGTTCTTCTAACGATTCACTTTCTCTTCTTGACAAGGTCCAAAAACGCATTGTAAATGTTGTTGGACCTGGACTATCTGCTAAGCTTGAACCTCTTTCCCATCGTCGTAAAGTTGCATCTCTTTCTCTTTTCTACAAATACTATCATGGTCACTGCTAAAAGGAGTTATCATCTCTAGTTCCATCAACTAAAATTCATTCTCGTTTTACTCGTCATTCAGCTAAGTCTCATTGGTTTACTGTATCTCCCCCTGCATGCTCTAAAAACTTTTATTCATCTAGGTTTTTTCCCCGCACTTCAATCCTTTGGAACTCTCTCCCATCTTCATGTTTTCCTGACTCATACAACCTTCAACTTTTCAAGTCTTCTGTCAACCGTTTCCTTGCTCTATAACTCTGTTCTTTTTTTTTCCTAGTAACTCCCAACTTAATTGTGGTTGCTTGCAGCCTTGTTGGGAGTGAATGCAAATAAAAAAAAAAAAAAAAAAAATCCAAGCGTTTCAGTTTTCTTGAAATAGTAGACTGAGACATGTTGAAGCCTGCTGCAGAAAGATTTTTTTTTATTGCTTCTTGCATGCAAAGATTGTTTTCTTGTACGCAAAATTCGATAATATTTCTTATTTGAGAGTTTATAGGTCTTTTACCTCGTTTTTTATCAGAAAACGACTTGAATGCAGTCATGTCGTTGAATTATCCTCTGTAACTTAACAACAAGATTTTGAACTGTGCGCTTCGATAAATTAAGAGAAGTGGAAATGCTTGTTGTAGATCGATTTCTTTCAATTAAATGCTTAAGCATTTCAATGTGCTCTTTTGTAACATTTTTCCTTGTTTTACGATTGGTACTTCTATTTTCTATTCCATCCATAGGGATGTATAATTTGATATTAATAATAATTGTAAATAATTAAATTTAAATCTAGATAAATGAATAATTAGATAAATAATAACTTAATCAATCAAGAAATTTAATAATAAAATTACAAAGAACTAATACTAAATTAAATAAAATATCATCGAAAACAGAGAACTAATACTAAATTAAACAAACCATCATCGAATGTAAAAAGTCTTCATTTTAAGTATTTTTAACCTCGTTTACCAGGAAATAAGAAAAATTTGTTTTGAAAACATAAACTGTTTTTTCAAAACAATTGCTTAAACGATTTTTTTTTTTTTTGTTTAAATTGCTTTTTTACAATTGCTTTTGTAAAACGCATATAAGAATGAATAAATGCACATATAAAAATGAATAAATGTGCATATAAGAATGAATAACCCTGTAACATAAACAACATGACAATATACATTTAAAGAGTTTATATTCCATTATTCTACAGTCCACCTACTTGTTTTCTTTAAATTTTAGTTTATAGTTGCATTAAAAAAACAAAAAAACAGCATACGCTAAAAACACACCTCAAAATACTGTGACTCTACTGCAAGATATATCTACTCTAACACAGTCATATGTTACTCAAAATACATATGACAGTATGTTATTCAAAGGGTCCTAAATACAAATATAACATATATTTGTTCACATTTATTGATTTCACTTTTTTTTGATTTCACATAGCATTGAGAAACTAAAGATCATCAAAAATATTGCTTTTTGCTCTGTTAAAATAATTTTGTCATTAAATGTTATTTAAACTATTTAGTTTAAATAAATTTCCTAAAAGTTTTTTGATTTTTTTATGATTGAAACCCTTATAACCCTGAAACCTAAATTACATAATTAGCTTAGCTAAATTCATTCTAAACAAAACTGCAGTGTATATGCATTGTAAAAACCTTGTACCTTAACAGCGGGCACAACTCTTTAAATGTTGTCTTTGCACGACATACTCTTGTTCTCATTTTTCATCACTTAGAAGCACACTTAATGGGCTCAAAACCATTTTTTAAATAACTCACAAACAACTAAACCTTTTGTGAATTTATTTACACTTACAAACAACATTATCTATTAAAACTATTGGGTATATGATACTAACGCATTGTCTCATTTGTTTTATTCACACATTACTAAATATTGTTATGCTGATTATGAGTAATGAAAAAAAAAGCACTGGAAACTGATTAGTTTATACTGTATATGAAGCACTTCTGACACTTAAACAGTCTGTGGTTTTTAATTTTTTTAAACACCCTCTCAAATAATGTTTAAAATTGAATAACTAAAAAACTATTATATAAACTGAATATGAAGAAAAAAAAAGATTTAAATTCTTTCTTTGCTCAAAATATAAAACAACTTATACCTTCACAATGAAGCCCTTTAAATCCAGTTTGACAGACACATTCAAAACTTCCACCAACATCATAACATGTTCCTCCATTTCGACAAGGATTAGGTTCACATTGGCTACGGGCTTTAAACAAAAAGTTTATATAAAAGTATATATATACAAACACACAAACACATACATATATATTATGCTATATATATATATATATATATATATATATATATATATATATATATATATATATATATATATATATATACATATATATATATATATATATATATATATATATATATATATATATATATATATATATATATATATATATATATAATGCATAATAACTTCAATAATAATAAATAATATATTAAATAAGTTACATTAAAGATACATATTATAAACATTAAAGCTATATTAAGTTATTGTAACCACTACTTTTATTAAAGTCAGACAAATAATAAAAACAATGTAGTTATGAAAAAAATTTATTTAAAAAAAAATGATAGTACAAAGAAAAGTTACTTTGTTAGAAGTGCTAAGTATAATAAAAAGAGGGGGAAGAAAGTCAACACAAACAGTTTTTTTTTATACCAAAATTTAAATTTTTTTATACACTTTTTTTTAATTAATTTTTTATCCATTTTATTGTATTAATATGAGTGTTTTAAAAACTATTTTTTGGTTAATAATTGTTAGGTTTTAATTTAGCTGTAAATATTTTACAGAAAATAACTATTCAAAAAAACTAAATCTATCATTTTTTTCAGAAGAATTAATGAACTAGCTAATAATTTAAAAATAAAAAATTTACATTTTTTCTTTTAATGATACTTTCAATTCAGAGTTATTTCATTTTAAAATTTATACATAGACATTTACTTTTACTGGCTGAGAGAGGCAGTTCACTGGCTGAGAGAGACAGTTCACTGGCTGAGAGACATTTACTTTCAATGGCTGAGACATTTACAATTATTTTTATATTTAAACAAAATGATTATGATAACTTATAAATAAATTTTATCTTCCTTTAAAAACACTTTAATTTATAGTCATTCAACTAATTTATAGAAATCTTTGTGAGGCATTCTCTATTTTTATATATATATATATATGTATATATACATGTTTTCATTAGCATTATATAAGGTTAAATTGTTGCTACTTCAATATAGTTTAAATTTACAACTTCAGAATTCTAGTATACAATTAAGCCGCAACCCCCAATTTCTCAAATAGTGTAAATAAATAATTTTAAAGCCTTATCACTTTTTTCTAACAGCCAACAAACCCAAATTTTTTTATAACTATTTTTAGGCAAATTCATTTTTAAAAGGCTTGTTTTTATTAACTTGTATTATATTAGAAAATATCAAAACTCTTTGACTTTAAAAAAATTCTAAAAAATAATTAAAAATGATAAAATTAAGTTAACTATACTATTTTTAAAGCTTTTCATAATTAATTCACCTCCTTAAGGTCACTACTACAGTCAAGAAGGCTACTTTTTGAGGTTACAACTCTCTTAACTCTTTAACTCCGAAACAGAAACCTTGTTAATGTTGCTGTGCAGATAAATAATTTGAGCATTATATTATCAGGGGCATGGTGGGGATCAAACTCAGAACTTTTGTTTATGAAGCGAGCGATCTACCACTACATTAATATCACAATAATTGATTACAGGTAAGTTTTTCTGACTAGCTATTGTTTGCAATAAATGGACAAACTATTTGTTATTTGTTATGCTTTATAATTCAAATATAGTTTTAAAATATATTGTTTGGTAACCTAAAAAAAATCAATGCTTAAAATATAAAACTATGAGGTCTATACCAAATACAATTTTTATATAAAAATCAAAAGGACTATATATATTTTTTTGGTAGTGTTGTTTATGGTAATCAAAAATTATAAAAATAAAAATTTTGAAAAAAAAACTGTTAAATATTGAATACAAATTTCTTAAAAGAAAAATCTACTCTAAATGTATGATACTTGTTGGACTTAAACAAAGAATTTTCTTTATTACAACTGTTGCAATGGCAACTGATTTTTTTTTTATGAATACAAGACCAAGAATTAGACTAAACTTGCTTTGTAATATCAATAAAGCAAATAACTATCATCAGAAAATATTTTTCACAATTCCAAGAAAATATTCAGTTATGTTTTTAAAACCAATTTTCGAAGAAGAATATCAGAAGATTCATTATTTTACTGATAGTGCAGTTAGCCAGCATAAAAATAGATAAGCATTATAACTATTAATTTTATATTCCTTTTCATAAATGAAGTATTTTTAATAAGATTTTTACATTCCTTTTGATTAAATATTAACGGGTCTTAGTTAAGATTTCACTGTCTAATCTATTTCCATTGTTGATGTAATTCCACTAGATACTGTATTTTGACCAATACTATTCTTAATGAAATTTAATTAATTATTCATATTAATAATTCTGAATGGTCTAGATGATATTAATTGCACAATATGTATATGATACTTTGGTAATGGCAGATAATATTGCTATTTTTAATTTCTCGTGTAACTCTTTTTCTGCTGTTAAGTAGAAAAAGAGTTACACGAGAAATTAAAAATATCCTTTCCATCCATAAAAAGAGATTTATAGGGGATAGGCAACACTGGAACTTATAAGGATAGGTGCATTGCAGTGTACATACATCAACTGATTTATTTATACACAACTATTGAGGATTTGTGTTTGGGCAGGTTTTCGTGTAATAAAAAGACAAGGGAGCCTAGCTTCTTAATAGTTATTTGAACTAATACTTTCACCCTTATGTATAATAGCAAACACAAATAATTATACTATGATAAAAAAAATTAAATAACTTATTCTAGTATTCGCTATATTATAAGCATTTCTATTTTATTATAAATTTATATTTAAGAAAAAAATTATTTTAAACATAACATTCTTCAATTGTTAGTTTTACTTAACTAATAAGAATTTCAAATTTGTTATAATTAGTGTAGGAATGAATAAAGTAAATATAAAAAAGTACTTTCACAATGAATGCCAAGGTATCCAACAGGACAAGTGCACTCATATCCATGTGCTAAAATTGTGCAAGTTCCAGAATTTAAACATGGTGTTGGATCACACCGACCATGGACTAAAAAAGATTAAAAAAATAGAAAATTTTTATTAAATCAATATTGACTAATAGTTACAAGTACTTTAAAAAAAGTGTACTCATACAACTAAAGGGTATTAATACAACTTAAATTTAAACAACAGCAGTAACAACAATAACAAAAATATCAACAGCAACAAAACTTTTGTTTAGTAACAAGCAATTTAAATTGTTCTGAAAATAAGTCAGAAAAAAATTTCTAAAATTACAGCTTGAAATCTGATGACTATGTTTTCTTAAAATAATTCTGAAATAATTAATTCTAATAATAAATTATAATTTAAAAATATTTTATTAAACAGAAAAAAAAACAATAGAAAAATAGTTGTTATCTATAATTAAAAGTATTATTATGCTAATAGATGGTAAATTTATGATAAAAGGTAAATGCAATTTGATCATTCAATACATGATAAAAAACCAATCAAATTGATGCAATAAATAGATGTTACAACAATCAACTATTATCAATCTGTTGCAACATTGATAGTTTGAAGAATGATTTTTTTGTTCTATTTAACATCAAAAACAAACTTTTAAACAAATGTTTGTTGGTTCATGCAGAATGTGACATTATGTTAGTCGATTGATATTGCACTGTTTTTATACGTTTTTTGTTTTTTTTTACTGTTTAAAGTTTTTTAAATTAATTGAACAAAATATAAAGATAAATTTTATATTCTGATCAATTAATGATAGAATTATATTATCTAAGTGATGATAAAAAAAAATAATAGTAAATTTATCTGCATTTATAATTAAACTAACTTTTAAATCTTTTTGTAAAATAGTATTGGGATTTTGAAGATTGCCAGCTCTTTTGCAATTCCTGTTAGAAAAACATTTGGTAATGTAATTATAGTAAGGGGACGACTGAATAGGTGCAAACTGGAACAAGTGCAAATGATGTAAATGCAAACTGACATAAGTTTGCACTTTATGGCAATATAAAAGATGTCTTGAATCTTTAAAATCAGACATAGAGTTATAAAGATGACCTATAATCCTTATAAAGATGTCTTGAATTTTAAAAATGAGAAATATTTCACTCCTTCCATGACAAAGACATTCAAGAACTTTTTTAAGGAAGACATTATAGACTGCAAAGAGTTAATGCCACTACCTATTCTAAACATACCTATTAAAAAAAAAAGATTATCTAATTCAAAAATATCGTATATATATATATATATATATATATATATATATATATATATATTTATTTATATATATATATATATATATATATATATATATATATATATATATATATATATATATATATATATATATATATATATATATATATATATATATATATATATATATATATATATATATATATATTACAAATTCTTGCACTAGGTAATAAAAGGAAAATTACTTAAGACAAAAATTTTTTGAAATTTATCTTGCATATATACCATACGCAAATTAAAATATAAAAAACTATAATAGAAATAGTATAGGTAATTTATAACAAATGCTTAAAGCACTTGCAAGCAGGGCATTTAACGAAGCCTCCTGGCAGATTTCTATTTCGTGAGGTGAGGCACGAGCTTTGTGGCTCTTTCTTGCACTGTTTTAAGATAACAAATTTTGCACTGTTGAGAATGCAGAAATCAACTTGTGATTGCGGCCATTTTATTTCAATTACTAGGTCCTAAGGAAGCCAGAAATTGCTTATATTACCTCCAACAATAATGAATTCATCAGGTGACTAAAAATTCAACCACACAAAATTTATAAACAACTTGATATCTGAATGCTTTCTGCAATTTCGACATTTTTCAAATTGGAGTTATTGCGCATAATATTTATTATATTTGTGGATGCTTACACAGCACACCAAAGTAGATTTTATTTCATATTCATAAATATATAAATATTTAATTTTTTTTTGATAAACATTTTAGGAACGAAGTACAATTTTTACAAAACGGGAAAAAAAAATTTAAGACGCTAGAGATGGTGTTAAAAAAGACTCAGGATTATCAGCCGCCTCAAATACGAGATATGGCTATTAGGGTGGATTGATTTTTAAAATTTTTGAAATTTGATTTGCCTGAGCTGCAAATCGATGTCTTTTGGTGGAAAAAGAACCTTACTTTTTTTTTTTAATTTAAATGAGTTTTAGAGGTTCCTCTTTGAATTCCAAATTTATGACGGATATTAATATTGTTGAAATTTTTTTTCTTCTAAACTATATCAACCTGGTACTCAAAAGAAGCAGAATAATACGTTTATTTCGTTTTAATTTAAAACTAAAGAGAAAAAAATAATGTCGTTTTTTTTTTTTTCATTAAAAAACCCGTCTTCATCAAAACGGGGGTTTTAAGGTATATTATTGCAAATATTTTTTTCACTTAAAATTTTTTTTAATAAAATTATTATTGATAAAACAAGCATTTTTTTCTGCTTTTATTTGAGTCCAAGGTTGATATAGTTTAGAAAAAAAAAATTCAAAAATATTAGGAACCGTCAAGGATTTAGAATCCAAAGAGGAACCTCAAGATCTCATCAAAATCAAAAAATATTTTTTTACTTTCATCTTATAATTAATAGACATCGATTCGTGTCTCAGGAATATTGATTTTTAAACTTTTTTTTTTTGCTATGAAAATCGATCCACCCTAATGGCTATTTTAGCAATAGATAGATAAATCATAGTAGCCACGAAAACAAACAAGTATAAAAATAAATATTCGCTTTATACAAAACGTCACTTTTTTTTCGACTACAGAAAACTTCTACGCTAGGTTTGCTATTCAAATCTAGACTCTCTTATTACGGGAGTTGCAACCCAAATTGAACAAACGAACAAAACATATAGCAAGTATCTAAAAATTTATTATTTTGCAATTAAAACTTCTTGCTTTTTTGAGTTGATCCTTTAATGGATAAGTTCATAACATGCATCCATAAGTATAAACGTGATTTACTTAGTATAATAAACTGTACGCTTGTCTATTGAAAAGACCAAAATAATTTCTACACCTTTTTAAGATGTACTACACCTTACTTACTTTTTAAGATGTACCTACACCTTTTTAAGATGTAATTGAGAACATGAAAATTGTAATAAAGAAATCGTAATTTGTAATTGAGAAACATAACATATACTTTAGATATTGTAACATTTGGTTGAGAAACACAACATGTAATTTAGATTTTGTAATATATTATTGAGAATACATAAATTGCAATTGCGAATGCACAAGTAAGTACATATACACTTACGAAAGCGTGTTTTGATAAGTATTTGCTCACATTTTCTGCTTACCTTAAGCTATACCGTTTTTTTCGAAAAAGAAGAAGAAAAAACGAAGAATGATGAATGAAACGATTGCTTCCCCATCCAAAACCCTCAGTCGATGTAGCAGCACTCCACTGCGAGTCAGGCTATTTGTCAGTCGATGTATATACTGAAGCCCCCAGCAGAAGGCTATTTCAGTATGACGTCAGATTGCTTACAATAGTACGCAATACTATTTGTATAGGTTGTTATAAAAGGTCTTTTCTCTCTATTTATATATGTACCTATATACATGCAAATTTTGAATGTTTTCTTTTGACTGTACTGCATGAATACAACCCGTAACTTCTATCATTAAAACATTGGTATAATAATGTAAATAAAATGTATACATTTCACCATTGAATAAGGAAAAATTGCCTTTACTCAATCTAATATCTCTATCAGCCAAAATTCGACTTAACGGGAATTGGCTTTAGTCAAATATTTGTTGAGTCAAATCATGGACGTATAAGAGATGGACGTGCAACTTATTGTTGTTTTTGCGAACTATGCTCAATAATTAGGCGTCTGTATTGTTACAAGTCTATTGTTTCAAACAAAAGAAAAGAGTTATGATTCTATACGTCAATTTTTTAACGATTTATTGAACTTGTTTAGTCAGTCTAAATTATGGTTTTTCATAATATTGTTGTTAAAAATTCATGAACAGTCAGGGCAGTACTTTAGTTGTTATAACATTAACATTGTTTGTAAACGTTCACAATTTTATGTAAAAGTTGTGTATTAAAAATTAGTAAAATGTAGTTCTTTGTGATTTTATAATAAAAACCGAACTTTTAAAGCAAACAGCAAGTATGCAATTACGATGTTATCATCGAAGTTATTTTAGTAGTTAAGAAGTAATTGAATAAAAAAACTACATCTTTTAATAATGATCTTGTTAAAACAATCTTTTTATAGTTAATTTTATCTAAATACACTAAGGTAATTTGGTTAATTGTAGCCTAGTTTTGAAAGCAAACTGTTTGTTATAAAAGTTAATAATAAAATTAGTATTAATATAATTAAATTAAGACAGTTTGTATCACGTTAGGATGATTAAATTAATATCAAACCGGATTTTATTTTATTTATTAATATAGCGTATAATAAGAGAAGGCAAAAAAAAGCGGCATGTTGGAGAAAACAAAAAAATATATTAGAGTTGAAACAAAATGAGCAAAGAATTTAGACTCTGAATGGTAAGAATACTAACTGAAATATAAAATACAAAACTTGACTAAAATATCCAATCCATAAATCTTTTTTAAAAAGCTTTCTCCATGTGTTAATTTTATTGCTGACGTTTACTTAAAAACAGGAAGTATTTGTCTATGTATTATAAAAAATCTGTTATTATATCATTGTATTTGTAATAAACATCATTTATTTATGTTTGATTTGAACAATAATTTGCAAGCACATATATGATTCATTTTATACAAAAATCACTTAACAGAATTGTCTATTAAATCCTTACTAAAAATCTTTGACTGGCAGCCATTTTTTAATACTTTTTTGCTAATGACGGAATATTTTGATAAGACCGTGAAAACGCATGGCTCGCTGATTTTGGCGGTTTCTTTGATGTAAAACAAAAGGTTGCACGTCCATCTCTTATAAGTCCATGGTCAAACTATTTTTCTTGGTTTCCTGGTGGAATGAGTAATCGGGAAGTAACTGTGTATATATATATATATGTATATATATATATATATATATATATATATATATATATATATATATATATATATATATATATATATATATATATATATATATATATATATATATATATATATATATATATATATATATATATAATTGTTAAAGGCCTATACATTCTAATAGCTGAATATCATGTGTTGTGACGTTTTGAGTTATTCGAAGATGTAGCCCTAATCTCATGTGCAAAGATAACTTTAAAATATCGCATAATAAAATAATTCAATTATTCCACACAGAGGCGATTTTACGTGGGGGTATGGGGTTTTTATTTTACGATTTTATTTTGCTAGTCGGGTATTTGACACAATTCAGTCGGCTAAATTTAACTTTTGAGGACTTTTTTTTTCTTTTTCTAAGGAACCAGTCGGTACTTTTTACGGATTCATTCCTCCCCCACCCCCCTTACTTTATTAGTAGAATCGCCTCTGTGATTCCACATAGGACCAAAAGTGAAGAAATAAACTAGATATTTTTCTTATAAAAGTAATAACAACAAATTTTCCACGCTTCAAATTGCCTTAAACAAATATCTATTTTATTAAAGGTACTTTCAATATTACGTGTTGATAATACTATGGTATATTGTTTTTTTCTTACATGATATTTTTGAAAATAAAAATGATAATCCACAATCGGCACCTTTACTTTCTCTTACTTTTTATATATAATTTGGGTGAGATAATGGATGGAACATTAGAATGGGCAAATTTAGGAATAAAATAAGGAGAGTTGAGTCCTCGAAAAAAAAAGTTTCTTAATCGCCTTTTTTGGGGAAGGAGTATGACACCGCCCCCAACTTTAATATTGCCCCTGTAAATTGGGTGGGTGGGTTTAAAATACTTGAGTTTTTTTATAATTAAAAAATTAAACAAACTGTTATCTATTTAATTTAAGCTGGTAATTTTTTTGAAAACTTTAAAAACTTCAGTTCTGAGACGATTTTACGTAAATGTAAAATTAACTTCATTGGGCAGTTGATATAGTTAATTAAAAAAGCAGGCCTTACTAATTTTTTTACTTTTTATTAATTTAATAAAAGTTGTGGCTAATATTTTACCATAATAAAAAGATTCAATATAAAAAAAGATTTGAATTTAATAAAGACTTTTTTTAAAATTTAAAATAGTTTGTATTGTCAATATTTTTTTACCCAGTTTACTCTGACGATAAAACACGTTTTATTTTAAAAGAGTATTAAAATGTTATTGTAAAAAGCTTTATAAAATATTGAATATAAGACGATACTCCGAGGTTTTTATTAAATATTGAATATAAGACGATACTGTGAGGTTTTTATAAAATATTGAATATAAGACGATACTGCGAGGTTTTTATAAAATATTGAATATAAGACGATACTGCGAGGTTTTTATAAAATATTGAAGAGAAGACGATGCTGCGAGGTTTTTTTGTCAATATAAAAAGCTTGAATATAAAACAACTTCGCCGTGTTTTTTATTGCTTTTTTATGCAGTTTATAAAAATAAAAACATAAAACGTGTTTAAATAAAACGTGTTTTATCGTCAGTAAGGTTATTAAAAATCAGATGACGTTTAAAATCATAATTCTAATAAACACTGGCTAAAAACTTAGTTACAAAATTTTACCTAGTCTAATAAATTTATAACATTAAACTTATAATGAATAAGTAAAATTTAGAACAGATAATACTATAAGAAAGTTATTAAAATGTTAAAAAAAAACAGGTTTGTTACATTAGAAATGTTTTTTAAAATTTGTTGCAAGGAAAATAATTTATGAATAAGTAATTTTCATAAAGATTTGTGAAAAAATTTTAAAAATCATATCCTTCCTGTGATGTGTAAAAATTATCTTATTTACCTTATAAGTGAGGTTCAGAACAAAACTTTAAAAACTCAACCCTAAACTTTTTACTTACTAACATGATGGTGATGGTGAACCAGATGATGAGTATGTGTATACTCAATCGGAATTTCTTCCGGCCCTACTTCTTCGTTCTCGCAACAACTATCGCAGCATCCTTCCCCGCAGCATCCATTTTCATGATGCATATACGAAGGATTTAGATCAGCAACTTCGTTGTAATGGTTTTGATGTAAAAAATGATCTCCTCCTTCAGGATAAAAAACATATTCTCTTTTTGTGTTGTTTCCCGACAACCGGTAGCTCCTTTGGTTTTGATTTTTTATTAATTTTTGTTCTTCATTTATATTTGATAAAGGGATAATATTGCGCTTTGTATTATTGTAATGAACATTTATTGCTGATATGTTTTCTAATAACTGTTTATTTAATTCACGCGCACGTTTCTCTCTAAGTTTTTTAATTGCTTTTGGCGTATGCAAGTCGGATGTTTTACAAAAGCAAAAGCACGTAACAATCAACACAATAAACAAGCATTTTGTTTTCCTCATTTTTGCAAAATTTTCCTTTTTGTAACATTTAAACATATCAATTTATATACGGTGGCCATTTCATTTTTAATGTCTATCTTATACGCAATAACTTTGTTTCGAGTACGTATTTTGCTAGCAGTTGAGAGCGTTGAAGCGTATGAAGTAGACATCTTCGTATAAATTTACCGATGCGTGAGCTTTTTCTACAGCGCGTTTTATCGAAAACTGACTGCTGAAATCTTGAATTTTGAGCTACAAAAGGTCATTAAAAAAAAGCAACAAGTGAAAACTTTTTTATTTTTCTATTACTTAATTGCCTAGGTTTTATAATTAGCAGAGGTAAAATGGTATATAAATACGAAAAAAAGATCTTATATATATATATATATATATATATATATATATATATATATATATATATATATATATATATATATATATATATATATATATATATATATATATATATATATATATATATATATATATATATATATATATATATATATATATATATATATATATATATATATATATATATATATATATATATATATATACACTGTCCTCCAAAACATTAGCAACCAAAGATAATGAAAAAAAAATTCTACTTTAATTACTTATTACAGCAATTTTGTTTTTTTAATTTCGCTTTAAATGAAAAAAATGGTTAATGTTAAATATAAGGAAAAAAGATTTTAACATAATAAGACTACTTGAAAATAAACAAACGTGTTTTTTTGTTTGTATTGGTATTTTAACTTAAACACGTGGTCCTCCAAAACACTAGCAACTTTTTTAAAACTACCCTAAAATATGTTTATATCAATAGTTAATGGTATATCTTTTACTTTTTAGGATCAAGGAACATCTTCTCGAGACACTTCTCGATTCTACAAGTTTATTAATTTTTTCTTGTCTAATCTCATTCCACGTGGTTTCGATAGCTTTATATAGCTCATCAGCGTTTTTGAAGGGTCCTTTGTGTTTTAGGGAGAGTTCAACTTGACACCATAAATTTTCAATCGGGTTGAGATCAGGTGATTGAGCTCGTCATTTCATTACTTTATTTTGATTTGTTTCAAACCATTCTTTAACGAGTTTAGAGGTGTGTTTGGGGTCGTTGTCTTGTTGAAAAGACCATAAAAAAGGTATATTATTATCAGCATGAGGAACCACTTTTTCCTTGAAAATTTCACAATAAACATACTGATTTATAATGCTATTTATTTGGTAAATAGGTCCAACTCCACTAAAACCAGAAAAGCAACCCGAAATCATTGCACTTTTTCCACCACCATTCTTGATTGTTTCTCTTTCTGAGAAATGAAAGGATTTTTTGCTGCTCTAAAGCTCATAAGTAAAAACCGTCTAAAGTTGAAACCATCTACAAACACTATTTTGAGATACTAAAAGTTTCAGTTTTTTAATAGTATCATTAGCGCTGTCAAAAGGATTTTTTTTTAACATGACAAATAATTTTTCTATCGGTGAAACGACATGTTTTAAGTGGTCTTCCGCCCTTATGTTCTGTTTCTAAAGGACTGCCTTTATTAAATTGTTTGATTATTTGACATACAATTGACTTCTTAATGGAGTATTTCGTTGCGACTTCCTTTTGTTTGACTCCTTTCTTGTAATCTTTTACAATACGTTCTCGAAAAGCTAAATTATACTTGTTTTCTGCCATTATGATCCAAAACAGAATATATACGCAATCTTAAATTAATATTGTAATATTTGCAACACTCCATATTCATCTCTGGGCAAAAATTAACAATTAGTTAATTCTCATTGGTACACACACACACACACACACACACATATATATATATGTGTGTGTGTGTGTGTGTGTGTGTGTGTGTGTGTGTGTGTGTGTGTGTGTGTGTGTGTGTGTGTGTGTGTGTGTGTGTGTGAAAAAAAAAAAGACTATTTTGTTATCTTTAGAAGCAAAATTAATTAAATTTATTTGAAAATAACTTTTTTTTCTTTAGCGGTTCTTAACTTTTTCACAACACTGTATATACCACATCAAGGTGATTGTGTATTGTAACTATAGAGTAGCCTAGCTACAGCGTACAAAAAGTTAATGTTGAAATAATATATTTTAATCCTGAAAAAAAATTATAAGTTCATCTATCTATAAAAGTTGCTACGCTCAAAATTGTTATAAAAGAGATTTTAAAACAATAAACAAAAGTAACTATTGCTGAAATTAGATTTTATTCATTTAGACAGGTTTTTTTATTAAATTTGAACTATTGTGTTATGTACTTGTTTCTTAATAACAATTTCCGTTGTTAAATGCATATTTAATAGCCTAAAATTAAAAAAAGTAGTTTGTTTTCAATAAGAAACTTTTTATAATAGGTCCTATGCCATTTTTAAAACGCAAACTTTACTGCGCTTGCATATAACAACTTTTCAATTATTTAATAAGTCTTAACAGCCGTGTTATGTAAGTTATTAATATAATTTACCTCCGTCTACGTTGGGTGTTATCACATTTTTTATATATAATACTAGAATTTGATATAATTTTTTTTTTTTTTTATATTTTTGTTATTAAGTGGTCCTTACGCTCGGGGAGGGGTATTTGACGCAATATTTATTTTTCGAGTTTCAAATCTAGAAAAACCTTTCTTTTAATTAATAGAGTAACTAGCCAAGCATAAAGTTGATGTATATACACTCGACTATGGCTATTCCAATTTAAATTAGAATTGACGTTTACGACTTAAATTAGAATTGACGTTTACGACTTTATCAGCCGCGATAGAATATCACGCCTAGTAAGTGATAGAATATCACGTCAGTGAAGCCAATGACACTTCACTAACTTATTACAAATGAAGTTATCTAAATTATATTTTTATTAAAAATAAAATAGCTTTGGAGGTTATTTGTCTTTTAATTCGTATAACTTTATTCGGAACTATATTATCGCAAAAAATAATGTATGTACACTCCACTTACCTTATTCTTACTTAAATCAGTCGATGTATATAAATACACTGCGACTACGGCTATATTAGTCATTTTATGTAGTCATTGGTGCACTTATTCTGTAAAACATTGAAAAAATATAAACAATAGATAAACATAATTATTAAAAAACAACAATATGTGTTAAAACACATAAAACTACTTCAAAATAAGACATCAAAATCATTAAATAAATAATAAAAAGAAAAACTCATAAGTTAAACCCACTCCCTAGTCAGCCTCGCTTCTTAACTAGATTTTTTAATCATATACGGCTCTGTGTCAATACCCAAGTATAAAAAATTTAGTTTTTTTTTATGTACAAATAATATTTTTACAGATTTATTATTTGTAGGCGCGTCCAAATAATGACTTCCAAAGTAATATTAAATAAAAATAATTAAAATTTATATATGTTTAAATGTATTAATTGGTTAACTAAAAGGAGCTAAGGAAATTTAAAATATTACGGTTTTTTAAATCAAAAATTACGTCACGTAATTTATAGACGACGTCCATAAAATTGCGTGATGTAATTTATTTCTGACTTTTTAAATTTTAATCTTTCTTGTTCCAGTTTTAAAAGAAAATTTTAAAATATTTTTAAAAGGAAATTAGACAAGCTGTTAAAAAAGAAATGCGTTAACTTTTACTCTGAGTACAGACTAGTCAAACCTAATGCGTTTAGGTTAAATATTTCATTACTTCAAAAATTTTAATTGCATGATATTAAGGAGTAATAAACAGACTGATGTATGAAGAAAACAAATTAATTGTTGTACATCCAAAAGAGAATATTAACTTTTTAAGTAAATGAGGCAAAATTGTCCCCCTCCCCGTAAAAATCAGGGCCATTAATTTTTGTATGATTTTTTTTTTTAATATTTTTAACAAGAAGAAAATTTATTAAATGAATTTTTTTTGAGATAATTTTTATTAAGTAAAATTTTTTAATAAAGTTTAAATAAATATAAACAATAAATATAATTAATAAATATAATATAAACAATATTTGCAGACCTGTTAAATGACAAGTTATCATTTGTGCAGGAATAGATGGTGGTCGAGTCCCTTGAAAAGTATAATGAGTGTTTTAGTATAGAAACAGATGTTGACTTTCAAGAGTCCAAGAATACTGATGTTAACAAAGTTCTGTTTTTTCTTTTGTTAAAAATGTCACTGAGTTCCATGCAACCTTTATATTGTCGCTGCAAAACAAGACTATCTTAAACCATTTTTGCTGTTCTGAGAAAAAGGCATTTTAAGTTTTTAATTCATCACTGCGTTTGATATTCTTCATTAAACTATTATTTTTTATTATTTTTCATAATATAACAAATTAAAAATTAAAAATTTAATTTTATGAATGTAAATTATGACATAATTTTACAAATTAAATTGCCGCTGCAAAACAAGACCATCTTAAGTCCGTTTTGGCTGTTCTGACATTTGCAGTTTTAAACTTAATCACTGCTTTTGATTTTTTTGATTAAATCTACTTTTTTCAGTTATTTATCATATGTATTAAGTATTTTGAACCAAAAATGTTTTTTTTTGCCAAAAAATGGACTTAGGATATTTTTGTTTTGCAGCAAGGATGTCTCTTAATCATTTTTTTTTAGGACATAAGATATTTAAATTTTACTCATAGTTGCAAAAGTTGAATCAATTTTGGCTCCATACTTTGTGAGATGACTTTTGTGCACCTAAGGAGAATTTTAAACTAAAAAAGTAAATTTTATCAAAAATGGACTTAAGATTGTTTCGCTTTGCAGCGACGATATGATGTGATTCTTACAGAGAGCTCAACAATTTGAAGTTCTACTTAGCAGCAGATCTTAAGCTGCTAAACAAAAATGTGTTGAGTAAGGAACCCGTTATCGGTGTCTGGCTATGTAATCATTAGATGATTTGGCGTGGATATAATGGAGATGAGATGGATGGTAGAAATGTTAATAAAATTCGGAATCTTCTGCTTTCGAATTAACGAAATTTTCGAAATAATATCTAAATATAAAATGAAATTATTACACAGTGTAAAATATAACATTAACCTTTAGTAGTTAATTAGTGCTTTGGGATTAAAATTTATGAAGGTTTTAAAGATACCATTAAAAGTTA